GTTTTGATGGTGCGTCCGAAGAAGTAGAGAAAGTCATCATCGATGGAGAAACCTGGTGCGTCGCAGCGACAAAGGCCACATTGGCACATGCCGAGTTGGTGGCCGTGGCTTCATCTTTTCCTTTCGCGATTCCAGATAGGCGGCACATCCTCTGCAGCTGATCATTGCCCCCGGCTTGATGTTTGCTAGTCTTCGGGCTACGGCACGTAGCAATGAGTCCCGCCGGAAGCTGGCCCTTGCCGATCCGAAAGAGGCTGGAAGTGCAGTTTTTGACTGCCCATGGACTCAGTTTGTCTGGTTGGCTAATCTCTGAAGAGAAGCCAAAGAAGCCAAAGCAAGGGTACTGGTTCGGAACCTTGTGTTCGTTTCTGCTCCAAGCTGCGGGCCTAATGAGGTCTTCCACCATGATTTTGGCCACAGTGGGCCACTCGGTGCAGTGATAAATAGCATATGTGCCGCCGTCTTCATTTTTGTAGGCATGTTTGATACGTAGCCCATAGGGACCGTGATACTCAACAAACTTTCTGGTTCGATGTAATATGCTTGGGTTGTCTGGCCAGGTTCAAGTCCAATCGGTCAGACATGGCGAAGCATCGGGCGATGTTGTTGACGACAGTGTCATCGGTATGAAGACCGTCTGTTTCGATACCGTGGTGTAGGGTTTGGCCAATTGTGCAAACATCTCGTCCACAAATTGTTTGTAAAGTGACCGTTCTGTTCCCCACATTGACGTGGGGTTTTTGTTTTTAGTTCTGTATCCGCCTTCCTCCTCCTCCTCCTCCTCCGCCTCCCGCCTCCCGTCCCCTCCCGTCCCCTCCCGTCCACTCAACTCACACTCACTCACTCACTCACTCACTCACTCTCACTCACTCACTCACACTCACACTCACACTCACACTCACACTCACACTCACACTCACACTCACACTCACACTCACTCACTCTCACTCACACTCACACTCACACTCACACTCACACTCACACTCACACTCACACTCACACTCACACCCACACTCACACTCACACTCACACTCACACTCACACTCACACTCTCACTCACTCACACTCACTCACTCACTCACTCACACTCACTCACTCACTCACTTACTCACTCACTCACTCACTTACTCACTCACTCACTCACTCACTCGCCGCTTTGGCGTGGCAGGCGTGGGACAATGTGCACTGCCAAGGGGTCTGATGTACGCCCTGGCGTCCCTTGGGGCTCCGCCTCTTTTGCGTGGCAGGCGCGGGACAATCTGCACTGCCAAGGGGTTGGATGTACGCCCTGGCGTCCCTTGGGGCTCCGCCGCTTTTGCGTGGCAGGCGTGGGACAATGTGCATTGCCAAGGGGTCTGATGTACGCCCTGGCGTCCCTTGGGGCTCCGCCTCTTTTGCGTGGCAGGCGTGGGACAATGTGCACTGCCAAGGGGTCGGATGTACGCCCCGGGGTTCCGCTGGCGTCCCTGGGTCTCCGCCGCTTTTGCGTGGCAGGCGTGGGACAATGTGCACTGTCAAGGGGTCGGATGTACGCCCCGGGGTTCCGCTGGCGTCCCTGGGTCTCCGCCTCTTTTGCGTGGCAGGCGTGGGACAATGTGCACTGCCAAAGGGTCCGATGTACGCCGCGGCGTCCCTTGGGGCTCCGCCGCTTTGGCGTGGCAGGCGTGGGACAATGTGCACTGCCAAGGGGTCTGATGTACGCCCTGGCGTCCCTTGGGGCTCCGCCTCTTTTGCGTGGCAGGCGTGGGACAATGTGCACTGCCAAAGGGTCCGATGCACGCCCTGACGTTTGTTGTGCTCCGCCGCTTTGGCGTGGCAGGCGTGGGACAATGTGCACTGCCAGGGTCTGATGTACGGCCCTGGCGTGCCTGGGGCTCCGCCTCTTTTGCGTGGCAGGCGTGGGACAATGTGCACGCTTGCCAAGGGTCGTTTGATGTACGCCCTGGAGTCCCTTGGGGCTCCGCCGCTTTTGCGTGGCAGGCGTGGGACAATGTGCATTGCCAAGGGGTCGGATGTACGCCCTGGCGTCCCTTGGGGCTCCGTTTCTTTTGCGTGGCAGGCGTGGGACAATGTGCAATGCCAAGGGGTCGGATGTACGCCCTGGCGTCCCTTGGGGCTCCGCTGTGGCAGGCGTGGTTCCGTCGCTTTTCCGTGGCAGGCGTGGGACAATGTGCACTGCCAAGGGGTCGGATGTACGCCCTGGCGTCCCTCGGGGCTCCGCCTCTTTTGCGTGGCAGGCGTGGGACAATGTGCACTGCCGGATGTACGCCCTGGCGTCCCTTGGGGCTCCGCTTCTTTTGCGTGGCAGGCGTGGGACAATGTGCACTGCCAAGGGGTCGGATGTACGCCCTGGCGTCCCTTGGGGCTCCGTTTCTTTTGCGTGGCAGGCGTGGGACAATGTGCACTGCCAAGGGGTCTGATGTACGCCCTGGCGTCCCTTGGGGCTCCGCCGCTTTGGCGTGGCAGGCGTGGTTCCGTCTTTTTTCCGTGGCAGGCGTGGGACAATGTGCACTGCCAAAGGGTCGGATGTACGTCCTGGCGTGCCTTCGGGCTCCGCTTCTTTTGCGTGGCAGGCGTGGGACAATGTGCACTGCCAAGGGGTCGGATGTACGTCCTGGCGTGCCTTCGGGCTCCGCCGCTTTTGCGTGGCAGGCGTGGGACAATGTGCACTGCCAAGGGGTCGGATGTACGCCCTGGCGTCCCTTGGGCTCGGCCGCTTTTGCGTGGCAGGCGTGGGACAATGTGCACTGCCAAGCGGTCCGATGTACGCCCTCCCTTGGGGCTCCGCTGCTTTTGAGTGGCACGCGTGGGACAATGTGCACTGCCAAGGGGTCCGATGTACGCCCTGGCGTCCCTTGGGGCTCCGCCGCTTTTGCGTGGCAGGCGTGGGACAATGTGCACTGCCAAAGGGTCCGATGTACGCCCTCCATGGCGTCCCTTGGGGCTCCGCCACTTTTGCGTGGCAGGCGTGGGACAATGTGCATTGCTAAGGGGTCTGATGTACGCCCTGGCGTCCCTTGGGGCTCCGCCGCTTTTGCGTGGCAGGCGTGGGACAATGTGCACTGCCAAGGGGTCGGATGTACGCCCTGGCGTCCCTTGGGCTCCGCCTCTTTTGCGTGGCAGGCGTGGGACAATGTGCACTGCCAAGGGGTCGGATGTACGCCCTGGCGTCCCTTGGGCTCCGCCTCTTTTGCGTGGCAGGCGTGGGACAATGTGCACTGCCAAGGGGTCGGATGTACGCCCTGGCGTCCCTCGGGCTCCGCCTTTTTTGCGTGGCAGGCGTGGGACAATGTGCACTGCCAAGGGGTCGGATGTACGCCCTGGCGTCCCTCGGGCTCCGCCTCTTTTGCGTGGCAGGCGTGGGACAATGTGCACTGCCAAGGGGTCGGATGTACGCCCTGGCGTCCCTTGGGGCTCCGTTTCTTTTGCGTGGCAGGCGTGGGACAATGTGCACTGCCAAGGGGTCGGATGTACGCCCTGGCGTCGCTTGGGGCTCTGCCGCTTTGGCGTGGCAGGCGTGGTTCCGTCTTTTTTCCGTGGCAGGCGTGGGACAATGTGCACTGCCAAGGGGTCGGATGTACGCCCTGGCGTCCCTTGGGGCTCCGCCGCTTTTGCGTGTCAGGCGTGGGACAATGTGCACTGCCAAGGGGTCGGATGTACGCCCTGGCGGGATCCTACCGCACATTGGTCCTATCAACCAGCCAAAGTTTACAACATTCCAGACAGAGGTTCCCGAGATCTTACCTTACTGTGGTCCTATTAACTCTGCTGAAGTTCAAACACAACTGTACAGTAAGAGGTTCACACCCAAAATCCACTCCAGTCCCCACAACAGGCAAAACCAAATTTAATTGCCATGCATCAGCACACTCTTCCATTAAACCGAACCGCAATCGAGTCCGCACTAACTTTTCTTCCTACGGTGTGGTGGAAAAACACACTGCACCCAAAAATTCTCAAAATCCATGCAGCATGAAACAACAACCGCCTACCACGGTCAAACGTCTCTATCAGCCACGCCGCTGACAACTTAAATCCAGGGCGGGCGGGTGGGTGCTCAAGAAACACTGAACACCACCAACGCCGCGGCCCTCCGCGCAACCAATCCGTTACGCTAAACGCGCAACCAAACCGTTACGCCCAAACCGCTAGTGGCCAGCTAGCAATCTTGTCATGAATCCTCATGACAGGTCCAAACATTCATGTAATCTCACATGACAAGCAAGAGACTCACATCTCTAAATCGAAACTCATGTGTCCACATGACAGGCGATAAACTTCATGCAAACCCCACGTGAACAGCCAGAGATCCTATCTCTAATGTAGTCCCGTGTGTCCACACGCGAAGCACATCATGGAAACTCATGACACACCCAGAGATCAAGTCTCAACCAATCAAGTGGACCAAGTTCACATAAAAGTAAGGCATCCAGAAACATGATGAACATTCGAACCCGGGTCGTCCAGTTATGTTGCCCAAAGTAAAGTTAGCACCAAAACGAAGACAACTACACCTACAGCAATATTGCTATCGAATCCCACTACTCGCCCCTGCGTGTCGACCCGCGGGATCCTACCGCACATTGGTCCTATCAACCAGCCAAAGTTTACAACATTCCAGACAGAGGTTCCCGAGATCTTACCTTACTGTGGTCCTATTAACTCTGCCGAAGTTCAAACACAACTGTACAGTAAGAGGTTCACACCCAAAATCCACTCCAGCCCCCACAACAGGCAAAACCAAATTTAATTGCCATGCATCAGCTCACTCTTCCATTAAACCCTGCAGAACCGCAATCGAGTCCGCACTAACTTTTCTTCCTACGGCGTGGTGGAAAAACACACTGCACCCAAAAATTCTCAAAATCCATGCAGCATGAAACAACAACCGCCTACCACGGTCAAACGTCTCTATCAGCCACGCCGCTGACAACTTAAATCCCAACTTGAAAAGCATGCGACGTGGCTACCATCCTGCACGCCCCCCATGCACCCTTTTTTCAACCCCAGGGCTGCGCCACTTTGAGCGCGTCCAACTTTCGTCCACGTTGCACATGTTGTACTGCTTTGCGCTGTCGCGCCACCTTAATCTCTTCATACAGCTCTGTTCCGCAAGCTAGCATGTCTGACAAGACCAATCCTTTGAATGAGGCCAAGTCAAACCTTTGCCGCAGCTGCTCATCAAATCTAGTCAGATCGTTGTTTGTGAGCGCATCAGCTTCCTGGTTTTGAAGCCGCGGCAGCCAGTACAACTCGAGGTTCGCGCCAACCATTTGCAACTGCATAGCCAGCTCCATCAAAAACGCAGCAAGGGGGAATCTGGTTGTGAGCAACCTTGCAACCACATGGCTATTTCCTTTGTTGTCGGTCCCAGCCGAACAATGGATTCTGCCCCGCATTTGCACTGGCACCCCGAAGACGACAACCGCAGCTAACGAGGCTAGCAGCTCAAGCGAAGCAATCTGTCTGTAGCTTTCACCTGCAGTAAAAAGCCCAGGCGCAGATACGTGATCCAATTTTTCAGAAAACCATCTACAGCGTTTTGTGTCCGTGCTATCCATAGCCCAGCTGCCAATCCAAATCTCATGTCCTTCTGCGCGGGCATCTGTCCGAAACAGTTCCACCTGGTCTCCCGGGGCTGGTGGCACAGATGCCAGGCGCCCACCATCTGCTAATGCCTTTGCCAGGAACTTAAAGATCAAGATGATCGCCTTGGGCAGGTTACCTGTGATAACCTTTCGCGTCATTGCTGCCGTCCATGCGTACACTGGCCCCAAAAACGGCCTCAAGTGTCCCAGCGCAGTCAAGCCAAATGAAAGACGGCCCAATACTGCAGACATATCCGCAATACGCACTCGGCCCAAATCTGCTGTGTCACTGAGCCAATTAACCAACCATTGCGATCGCGCCAACGACAAGCCGAGCTTACTTCCTTTCAAGCATAACTCGAAACCAACCCAGGCCAGGTCCACACCTCCTTGAAACTTCTTCCAAGCAAACGGCAAGCCAACAATGGTCATGAAGTAAATGGCCAAGATAATCTTCTCAATTCCAACTTTATCGCGCGTGATCCAAAGTAAATCGTCAACGTAAACAAGAATGAATAGCTCGCTCTGCCCCAGCAGGTAGTACGCAGCTCTACCCACCCCAGACATGAGCCTACTCCAATGGTATGCCGCGCTCCCAATGCCGAATGTTCCGACAGTATTAATCCAAATATGATCTGGGCGCACGTCTGTCTTGCACGCCTGTAATCCCCAGTCTTCTTCAGCAACTCGCACCAACCGATGCGCTCGCGCCACATCACCTGTCAAGCCAAACCACGCACCTGGTAGTACTTGCAACACAGTTTGCAGATCACCGGCAGTTGGTGTGCGGAGCTGATCCCGGACCACAATGGCTGGATTCACTCCAACGCCATGTGTCCCGTCATGGATCACACGGACCGATCCATCCTTCTTCCCTATCGCTCCTAAGGACGCTAGGGCCAGCCGATCCCCAAATTTTTGCTTTGCTTCACTCAAAGGCATCTCAATCATGCAACCCATTGCCATAGCAGCTTCAGTTTCAAATTGCTTCTGAACGAGGCGAGCATGATCACGGGCTGACAAATAGTTATCTCTCTCCATGTCTAGGCTGCTCTCTTCTTCTTTGTATTGTCTCCACTTAATCTTCTTCTCAAATATAGCAGGAACGCGAGGCAGTTTGGCATTTGGCCCCACACGCACTCCTTTAGCAAAGGAGTTGCTTGATGTGTAGAATCAGTGTAGAACGCTCTGCTGTCGGGGTCGCCCGAAATTCGCAAGAACTCTTCAATGGCCGCTAGGAAAAAGGGTTGCCCCCCCTGCCTCTCGCGCACCGGCAATTTGGAACCTGCAAATTTTAATGCTGTGAAAAGCAACTCTCGACCTGCGCTAATCAGCTCATCAGAAAAGGGCGTAGATTGCACACGACCCACTGCAAGCTTCATCGCCAGAGCACGCATGTCTAAATGACTCCGCAAATTTTTCAACAATTCAACACCAATCTGCTCTGCAAAACCTAAGCATGGCATGCTAGCGGCACACTGTCGTTTGTGAGGCTCCCAACGACCTGGAGAACACAAGCCAAATCCATCTGCAAACTCCTGCCTCTTTCCCAACAGTCTTGAAGCAAGCGGCGGTCCATCACCCCATAGGCCCGCACCCTTCTTTGGCTTCGCAACCTTGTCAATGTCTTCGTCTGAGCTAATTTCCTGACACTCCACCTCACATTTTTGCCATGCAAGCTCACCTGTTCGCTCCCATGCCCAATCTTCGACCTTGTCCTCATCCAGCTCACGGCTACGCTTGTCATGCCCCAAGCGCGCACTCTGAACCCCCACCATAAGCGCCGCATGGGGCGTCGCTGCCATAGCCACAGATAGTCAAGAAGCCGCCTCCTCAGGCACCCGCCCGTTTCCAGCCTCCTTCTTGAAACGGCACTGCGTGAAGGGATGGCGACCGAAGCAACGCTGGCACGCATGTGCAAATCGACAAGCCTTCAGGCGTCTTAGAGGATTTGCCCCATTGCCTGTCCCAGGACGGCATCTGTTTGCCCTTTCCAATGCCCTTTTCATGTGCTGGGCTTCCGCTGGCAGGGGGAAATGATTTGCCCAGCGTGAAAGGTACTACAAAATACTCTGTCAACAACTTTGGACTGTCCATGGCCTTTTCGATTGCAGAATCGATGCAAGCACAATCACCATCCCGAACAAACCGATAAGCGGCCTTTCGCAATTCCAGCTCATAAGTGAGGAGCAGAGACCACGTGGGACTTCGCTGGTCGGCAGCGCGCAGACCAGCGACTGATGCACCCAAAACATAATCGGACAATTTGCGGAACGTGTCGACCGATGATGTAGGCAACCAAGCGCGTGTGGTGTGACGCGCTTTCACAAAATCCCAGGCTAGCCCAATGCGCCTGTGGCGGAGCCGCAATTCTTCCGGTGTGCTTGGCGGTGTCGTGGTCGTCTTGCCTGGACGAATCCGCAAGAACCCCATCGACGGATCGATGATCGCGTTGTAGGCCTCGACTTCTGAATCTGCAAAAGACGTCACTTCGCGGAGATCCTCGGCAATGGGTGCCCCATCTTCCACTTGCTCAAGTTTGGAGGCTATCATGCCTTTGCTTGGGGCCTCACGATCCTTCAGTCTGCCATGCTTGGCTTCCACAGCGCTGCGCATGGTTGCATAATCCGACGGCTGCACAATGCGCTGTTGCATGCCCAGCTTGGACTCTTGGCGATTCTTCTCTTGCACAGACAACTGGGTACGTGCGCTTTCCCATACGCACAGCAACAATGCAACGTCTGAGCGAAGAGCCAGATTTCCCGCTGGATCCAAACCAAAGTCTGACTGCAACACTGTGCGGACAGCCTTGCGATCTTCTTCCAAGCCTGCAAACGTCCTCAAGGACACAATTCCTTGTTCATACACTTTCTTCTGCGTTTCCGCACAGACACCTGCTTCATCCATATGATACCTCAAAGCAGGCTCCACCTTCTTCAGGATGATCTCCAAAGAAGCAGCTGCCATTCGCAACAAAGAATACAAAAGAATCTCACTCAATGGCAAATCACCAAAGCTTCAAACAAAGGGGGCTGCAGATGCGGCGGCAACGATGACACAAGCAAGGACACCCTGGTACCTAAGCACATGACAGCTTAGAAAACTACACCCCTTGCCAAGCCATCTCTAAACACCGTTACAAAAGTCTAACGGAAAGGTTAGCCAACCGCAATCTACCCAATACCCAAAGGCCCTGTACCTTCCAAAGCACAGCACTAGGTAACTCCCTAGCAAACGTGTGATAATCTTCACTCCAAATGGCCATAGCATGCGACAAACTCGCACAAACGTATCACATGCCAGACGCTCAGCGCTGACACAAACAGCGACCCAACATCGCCAAACGGTTTCATGCGACTGACTCGCACAAAAGACCCAAGCTTGCAGGGGATTCTCCCCTTGAGCTTGTCAACATCTCCTGGTTACCTACCTATCCCTTACACGCTAACCGCGCTACTTGGAGCATAGATCAACCCTCAACCGATTCATCTGAATCATCTGCTTCTTCAGCCTCGGACACTGTTGCTTCACCACGCTTCCAACAGTGGCGACAAGCTAAATTATACGTAAGCCCTTGCAAGGACCAGCACGGCTCTGATTGCCCAACTTCAATTGCAGATACACCGCATCCGCCACGCCGGTGCAAACGGCGAAACCCTCGTTTGCCAATCACCACAACAAAATAAGGGCTCGCCTCCTCGGCCTGACTTTCTTCAATGGGTTGAACAGGCGCGGGCTCCGGCATTGGAGGAGCTGGCACCTGGGGCTCGGGAACCCGGCTGCACCACTTCGCCGGTAGCCTCAATTGCTCGCATTGCTCAGCAATGAGCACTTCGGGAACTTGGCGTTGGCGCAAAAATTGCTCAAGTTCGGGCACGCCTGCGTGACCAAGGTCCCACTTGTCATCACCAGCAAAATAGATTAATTAGTAGCTGCTCTTGGGCATTGATCACAACCCGCTGCGCTAGGCGTTGATATTCGTCAGAAGAGGAAGTCACGCGCCAACGACCTATGAAATCTCGCTCCGATTGCGGCACGCCAATGACAGCCAAGTGGCTGTTTAGCCAATTGCGTTCCGAATGCTCCGTCCAAAAAGATAATGCGGCTTCAGCGCGAAATAATTCCACAACAGAAGGCGCCCAATGGCTGTGCTGTTTCACCGGTAGTTTTAATGCGCGGAACAAACGTTTGCTCAAGGCGGCAGTGTCTGCAAAGTCTGCCATGACGCGGCATACGGACGCCCAATCTGCAGAAGGCAACGGCAAGAAATAGTCCCTGTCAAAAGAAAATTCATCGCTTCCCCAAATTTCCATACCCTTTTCCAGCCATCCGGGAGCAAACAAGTAGGCAGATCGACTAATGAAGATTGGCAGGTGCCGCACCCGCTTCCCTGGTCCTGTAGTTTTGGTACGCTCCAAGCAGCCCACAAGCCCTAAAGGTGTTAGGCGCAGAGATGAAGGGCGCAGGGATGACAGGTCTCCGGTGCGGCTTGCAGTCCACAGTTTCAGCAGCTTATACCAAGCCAAAGCACGTGCATACAGAGGCTCACTCTTACACATGACCATCAGCTCCAAAGCACCAATCAAAACCACTGGCAACAAGGGGGCAGACTTCTTTGGTGGCGCTCCCACCTCTAAATCTTGTGTTGCTTGGTTGACAAAATTTCGCAGCACCGGGGCGGAGGCTAGTCTTTCTGTTTCTGCCACACTGCCCGCCTTTTCCATGAATGCTAATGCTCCAAGCACTGCCTCCGGCACGGTCCGGGCACAAGGCTCCTCCATTCGTTCATGAAGGTAATCTAGCACAACACCTACATGTGGAGGCCAAGGCTGCCCGCACAGTTGCGAAGAGAAATTCCTCACTTTTCGCCATTCGCGCACCCGTTTTCGAATAGTTGCTGCTCGCATGCTACCTAAGGACGCGGCAATGATGGCCTCAGGGTTGGAAGTCAGCTGTGCATGGTGGGACACCGGCAAACCAGCTTCAATCACCAACTCGGCCAGACTGGCACGCCAACGATTCAGCTCAGCAGCTTCCAAAGCTTCTCGCGACTGTTGTGGTGGCCTATGTAATGACTCGCGGCGCTGTCTAGCGGACCAACCGCGACACTGACGGCAAGCACCTGGCTGCAGTTTCAACCAAGACAAGGTATGCTGTGCTTCGGCGCTGGCCACAAGTGGAGCTGCAGAAGACACAACTAATCCCCTGGAGCAAAATCAGCCATGAGTTCGATTGCTTCTGCTTCGCTGTGCTCGGAACTTCATGCAAGTGTGTCCACACGCGAAGCACATCATGGAAACTCATGACACACCCAGTGATCAAGTCTCAACCAATCAAGTGGACCAAGTTCACATAAAAGTAAGGCATCCAGAAACATGATGAACATTCGAACCCGGGTCGTCCAGTTATGTTGCCCAAAGTAAAGTTAGCACCAAAACGAAGACAACTACACCTACAGCAATATTCAACGAAAAGGGTGCTATCGAATCCCACTACTCGCCCCTGCGTGTCGACCCGCGTCCCTTGGGGCTCCGCCTCTTTTGCGTGGCAGGCGTGGGACAATGTGCACTGCCAAGGGGTCGGATGTACGCCCTGGCGTCCCTTGGGGCTCCGCCGCTTTGGCGTGGCAGGCGTGGTTCCGTCGCTTTTCCGTGGCAGGCGTGGGACAATGTGCACTGCCAAGGGGTCGGATGTACGCCCTGGCGTCCCTCGGGGCTCCGCCCCTTTTGCGTGGCAGGCGTGGGACAATGTGCACTGCCAAGGGGTCGGATGTACGTCCTGGCGTGCCTTGGGGCTCCGCCGCTTTTGCGTGGCAGGCGTGGCAGGCGTGGCAGTCACTCACTCACTCACTCACTCACTCACTCACTCATTCACTCTCATATCTCTCACTCACACACACCACACTCACATCACTCACTCACAGTCTCACTCACTCACCTGTGCACATGGCTTATCATCATCATCATCATCATCGTCATCATCATCAACGACATCATCAATATCATAATAATGATGTTGGTTTTAGAATATGATAATTCAACATCAGAATCAAAATAGATATATATATATCTTTCTTCATCACATATCAAATAGATTGTTTTATGATGAATAGCTTTATGATATGTTATTGGTGATGGCATGCTATGATGAACATAGCTCTGAACAGGTGTGCTCTGAAGTGGACATGTCAACTTGGGCATCTGAACAACTCACTGAGGTCAGCACAGAAGCACTTGCGATCACCCCACTTCTGACCGCATCCTTCTCATCCGCCGAGCCCCCTCCATCACTCTTATACTTTCTCTTCCCTTCTTGCTTTTCTATGCCCAGTCTAAGTCTAGAGAAGTTGGTAACATGTGGGGTTATCCGGTCCTTTAATTTTGCTCAGCTCCTCCTTGAGTGCGACATAGTGATCCGGAGGGAGTTCGTTGGCACACCAAATCCTGCTAGCATCTTTGTCGGCATCCTTGTACTCCGTGAGCCAACTATAGTGGAAGATTCAAAGTCCCGAATGGCGTAGGTGGTGTTATCGTCTCCGCTTTCGCTCGTGGTGCCATCCACAACTCTTTCGGTGACCGCGCCCAATGGTGCTGCTTGGGGAGGAACTGTATAGGACCATGGGTAGGTGAGATTGGGCGGGTGCTTGAAGCTGGTCGTGTAGTCGTAGGTTTCTTCCAGTCGCCCCAAGATTCATCTGGATCAGCTTCAAGGTCGATAGTGTGTCTGGAGGAGCGAGGAGCCGGAGTGAGCACAATTGGTTCTCGACGAGGTGAGCGACTGCGGCGAGGTGTCTTTGCGGGATCTC